ACATAATTTCATCAACGCTGATTTGTCTCAAAGTTGAAGTTGCCAACCACAAAGATCGAGCCCTTTGAAGTACGAGTAGCCAATGGAGAAAGACTACAATGTACTGAGTCATTCCAGAAGGTGCCAATCAAGTTTTGCGGAGTTACTGTGAAGGCTGATCTCTATGCTTTACCTTTAGTTGGGCCGGATGTTGTTTTGCGAGTTCAGTGGCTCGAGGGGTTAGGCAAGGTAACTACCGACTATCGAACGAGAATTATGGAGTTTAACTCTGGAGGTCGACAAGTCACTCTGAGTACTGACAATGAAAAAGGTACCAAGGAGGTAGGACTAAAGGGCATTGAAAAAGTTTGGCGAGGTGGAGGCCAAATATTTGCAGTAGTGGTCGAGAACACCAAGGCGCACATAGACCGAGATGAACAACAACAAGGAGATGTGCGCGAGCCTATCGAGGAATTTGAAGGAGTACTGGGCGAGCCTAAGGGACTACCGCCACACCAAGAGTTCGATCATCGCATACCACTGATCAATGAGCAGCATGCCATACATGTCCATCCTTATAGGTATGCTCACTTTCAAAAAACTGAGATCGAACGGCAGGTGGCCGAGATGCTTGAGTCAGGTTTAATACAGCATAGCAAGAGTCCGTTTTCTTCTCCAGTACTGTTAGCTAAAAATAAAGATGGCACGTGGAGGTTCTGTACTGACTATCGAGCTCTGAATGTCGCGACTATCAAGGACCGATTTTCTATCCCTAGTGTCGACGACATGCTCGATGAGTTAGCTGGGTCACGCTATTTCTCAAAGCTCGAACTGAGAGCTGGTTATCATCAGATTTGACTCCACAAGGCCGACATTCCGAAGACATCATTTTGTACGCACCAGGGGCACTATGAGTATCTAGTTATGCCATTCGGATTATGCAACGCCCCATCCACTTTTCAATTTGCTATGAATTCCATCTTCAAGGAGTATCTACGTAAGTTCATTCTGGTATTCTTTGATGATATTCTGATTTATTCAAAATCATGGGGAGAACATCTTGAGCATTTGAGAGTGGTGCTCGAAATCTTGGAGGCAAACTTATTTCACATCAAGCCATTCAAGTGTTCATTCGGGCAGAAGGTGGTTGAGTATCTTGGGCATTTCATATCCCACGAGGGCAAGAAAGGTTGATCCACGAAAGATTGAGGCTATGACCGATTGGCCTAAACCGATAAGTCTCACACAACTAAGGGGATTTCTAGGACTCACGGGCTACTACAGAAAGTTCGTGAAGGATTATGGAACCATCGCCAAGCCACTGACAGATATGACTAAGAAAGGCGGGTTCACATGGACCGATGCTAGCGAGGAGGCATTTGGGAAACTGAAAGTAGCCATGACAACAACACCAGTGCTCGCCATGCCAAGGTTTGATGTCTTGTTCGAAGTACACACAGATGCGAGTGACATTGGGATCGGAGCTGTGTTAGTGCAAGAGGAGAGACCCTTAGCTTATCTCAGCAAGGCACTAGGCACTACATGATTGGGTCTATCTGTGTACGTGAAGGAGATGCTAGCAGTTGTTGAAGCCGTAAGGTGCTGGAGGCCTTATCTATTGGGCCGACGCTTTCGAATTGTGACCGACCAGCAACCGCTTAAGCATCTACTCGAGCAAAGGATTGTTACCCCTGAACAGCAGAAATTCGTATCTAAACTTATGGGGTTTGACTTCGAGATAGTCTATCGACCAGGTCGACAGAATGCAGTAGCTAACACGTTATCCCGACGGACGGATGTAGCCGAGCTTAATGCTATCACTAAGCCGGCTTGGACACCTATTGCCAGGAGTTGCGCCAATCAATAGAAGCAGGTAAGACAACTGCGATCGACTATGAGTTGCACAATGGTCTACTTCTACACCGAGGCCGAGTATTTGTTCCCGACAGTGGGCAGTTACACGAGCAGATCATGCAGCACTTTCACAATTCTAAGATTGGATGTCACTCGGGCATCTACCGCACATGGATGAGAATAGCCAATACTTTCTTCTGGCCAGGACAACAGAATACCGTCTGAGATTACATAGCACGGTGCGACGATTGCCAGCGCACTAAGTCTGACTCACGACGACCAAGCGGGCTGTTACAACCTCTACCGGTACCCGAGGCAATCTGGGAAGACATTACTATGGATTTCATAAAAGGGTTACCGAGTTCTAATGGATTCGACGGTGTCATGGTCGTGGTGGATCGTCTCACAAAGTATGCTCACTTCATACCTATCACCCATCCTTACACTACAAAGTCGATTGCCAGGCTATTCGTGGAGTATGTGATGAAACTGCATGGAGCACCACGATCTATTGTTTGTGATCGAGACTGGATCTTTATGAGCAGCTTTTGGTCTGAATTCTTCAAATTACAAGGGACCAAACTATCTATGAGCTCAGCCTACCACCCACAGACAGACGGACAAACTATTAGAGGTATGCTGTAAAAGCGATGTTTCACAGTTTCTATCAATTCCATTTTGATCTGGCAATCATGTTTCAGTCAAAGTACATATGTTTGCAGTTTATTTATTTATGCAATACATACTCTATGTCTTATATTGAGATAGTGTGGTTCGAAGAGTTTCGAATAGAAAGATCACCTATCGGTTCCTTATAAGACTAAACTATTCGTTCACAGTCTAGACTGGCAGTGAGACCCCACTTGGAAAAAGACTGTAGTGTATTCTCGATTCAGATGGTATTTGACTGAAGGATTACACTGGCACTTATGTTAAGTGTTGAACAGGACCGCAGAAGGCAGAGGTTATGAGACTCACTGACCGTTGTTGTAACCTCGCCCTTCAGTGATTGATGCGTTCTCTTAAGCTATAATATAATATAAAATAGGCATATATTTTTATCTCTTATTTATTTGACTTACCAAGTGATTCCTATTCTGTTAGGATGATATACGAGGTATTTTGGTAAGTAAGAATAATTATATGATGTGCTATTGTAGATTATTTACAGTCACTATGTTCCAGTGCGCTGGATTGATGACGTCCTCGAAATGGGCTCAGAAAGGAACCTTATGTTAAACCCTGCAGGTAGATGATTGTCTGACATAATGGTTAAAGGCTGAGTGGTACTAATTTCGGAAATGAATAAGAAGTTGATTAATTATTTTGTTAGTAATTTAATTAATCAACGGACGTTATATCTTAAACATAGGGAGGTAAATCGATCAATTAGATTAATATTATTTAATCATATAGGCTCGATTTTATTAGTAAAATAGTGGCTAAATGGGGAGAGCAATAATATTACTCCAGTGGGATGTTTTATAATTTAATTCCATTAAATAGGAATTAATTTTATTCCATATT